CTACAAATTTTAGGACTAAAGGAGAAGCAGCTTGAACGCCAACTTTCTTCAACATTTCTTTAATCTTAGTACCATCAAAATGGTACACCTCCAAATGTATGATCAAATCAACATGGAAGAGCATGGTTTTGAGACTATTAAGAACTTCTTCTCGAGTCTCAAGAGAAGAGATGCCTCCAGATGCAGTAGAAGTGATGGAGCCTCCACCAGTCGAAAGGTTCCTAGCGTTCACCCAAAAAATTTCAAGTACTCAAAGGGGCTATTTTCCTTAGATCAACAACTTGTTGGGGCAACATGGTGGTGGTTGCAGGAATCACGTTGGGAGGGGTCTAAATGGTGCCAAAAGAGGCTCCCAGAAGTACCCTGAGTGATAGGAGAGTTGAGGTCGCTCCCAGAAGGCTCGCTATCAGTCAAGACTACAATTGGTTTATTTTTGGTCTTGGAAGATTTCAAGACAATCTTAGTGGGGCGTTTTTTAGGTTTAATTGTCATCCACTAAAACAATAAAGGAAAGTAAGAACAGAATCATAAAAGGGACAAATGATTCCTAAGATAAAGAGTCTTCGAAGAAGAAGGTACCTGATGGTCTCCTCCAGAACTAGAGTTAATGCTCTCTGGTCGAGTTGGTGCACGCTGTAAAACTCGTTCTTTTGCTACCACTGGAGCAGGCTCAGTGGCAAAAGTGGCCTTTTTTTAGACAACCTCAGATCGTGTCGATTGAGATTTTCTGAGGATGGCAGGAAAAGAAGCGTCATCAACTTGTTTCTCTTGGTTAGAATATTGTTTCCGTTTGGGGATGGTTTAAGAGGGACGATGATGTTAGCTTTAGAGGACTACGAGTGTGTCAACATAATCAGAGGGTTAGAAAGGAAACACAAATAGTTAGTAAACCATCAAATTAGCATATTACCTGAGAAGAATTTCCAAGAGGTTCATTAGCTGAGGGAGAAACAGTCGCACCACTGATAACTTCCCTGGCGCGTTTCTTGTGCTCAACCGCTGAATGAGGCAATAACATAAGACGAAGCCTTAGAAGTTAAAACATAAAGAAGTGAGAAGGCGAACAAGAATGCGACTGGCCGTCACAATAGTAATCCATACCTTTTCTAAACTTTTGTTGCATAACTTCAAAAGCATGGTTCAGTGGAGTCTTGAAGGACTTGAGAGTCCCATTACTTTGCATGAATTGCACAGTCCACCAATCATAGAACTCCTTAGTGGTGTAGAAGAGGGGTTCGAAGGCAACAAGAGTCATATTGGGGACGTCAGCAGCAAAATGTTGAAGTTGTTGAGTATATTCTCCCTCGTTATAGTTGGTGGACGAAAGACACAATTCATATGATGGCTTATAAAAGCTGCGAGGCAGAGGTTGGCACAAGCCAAATTACCTAGCCACCAGATTAAACTAATAACACAGGAGTGTTACACCATCATTAGCTCATACCCTAGATGATATGAGCCTATGGGTTAAGAAGGCTTGCCAAATGGCTTTAGATTCAGGGATCTGCATAGGATCGACAGGAGGAAATGTTCGAGTGAACCACTCAGGACCATGTGGTCTAGAGGCAAAGGGCACCATGCTTGACTGAAAAGAAGTGCACCTAAAGAAAAACTTCAGGTATTTCTCAAGAAACTCCTCTCGAGTCATGTCATTGTCAGAAGGCGTCATTGCAGTAAGACGAAGGCTTTCGTTGGCACGTTGGAAAAATGCAGTCTCATGTGCTTTAGAAAGGCGCAGTTTGAGATGTCTCGCAAAAGTGGAATTTAACCATAATTAAAGTAGCCAGAAAGGACTAACAAGTAGATAGCTGGTTGTAGATAAAAGTGAGGTCATATGATCGACCCCTACGCTGAGCGATTCATAGAGTGACCCCAAAATAAGTTTGCTCAAGCATATGTTTCGACCCAGGTGGAGGTGATGAGCTAACGCAATGAATCATTTAGCTACCTTCAGAGGTCGACTGCAGAAGACATACTTGGAAAGCCACACGGCCAATAAGGCAATATCCTCTTCGTCAAACACAATGTCGACATCTTTAGCGTGAAAACGCTCCATATATTTGGTGAAGCCAACGATGTTCTTTTCAAAAGGGATGACATTTTCGTCTGCTTCAGTGGGAAGAAATGCTACACTTGTAGGGCGGAGACCAGTGACAGCCGCAATGTCGAACAGGGTAAGAGTAAGCATCACAGCTGCAAAATGGAAAGTGTTTCTGGAGCCTTCCTAGAAATAGAGTGCAGAAATTAATATGCGATCATAATAACTAGGGCCAACCCTAGAAAGCTGAATCAAGTCAAAAATGCCTTGGATCTTTCAAACGTCATCTTTAACTTTCTCCACTTTATTCAACCATGCAATATAATCTTGGTTAACGGCAGAAGCGGAGCGGGAGACTTTAAATGTCTGATAGATGTGTGAAAAATCTATAGGGAAATCTCTGTTGATAGGGGGTTTTGTAGTTTTGTGAGTGGGGAAGAAACTTTCCAATTGTTTAGGTGCCTTAATCTCATCAGGAATAGGCTCCAATAGAGTGTAAGCAATGTTGTTACAGATGAAGGGAAGTAGTTGGGAGCAAAAAGTTTGGAGATTTCGTGTTGGCGTTGGTTCCAAAATGAAGGTATTTTGATCATGAACGAAGAACTCACTCATGTTGAAAACCAGTTCAATTTTCCGGATAGTTTGAATGTGCTTAGAGATTTGGCTTGAAGCGGCCATTAAGATGGTGGAAAGTTTTTTCTAGGTAGAAATGAAAGTTAGAATTTCTTGTGTACAAAAAAAAAGAGCTTGAGTATGCAGAGAAAATATAGAGAGGAAAATGAAGAGATGAAAGAGGTATTTATACCATCAAGGAAACCAAACGTTTGGGAAGAAAGTGGAAAAAATGTGGCTACACGACTGACACATGTTAAACAGGTGTCGACTGAGTTGAAGGAGTTGGTTAGTTGGGGGCCCCGGCTATCTTAGGAAGTTGAAGCTAGAAAGTAGGGAAGTGGTTGTGTGATCGCTGATGTAACGTTTGAGGGAAAAGGTCATGATTACGATGACGTCACTTCGCACTAAGAGAAAGGATTAAAATGTATGTTTATGTTCTTGCAGTCGAAAAGGACATTTTGGAGGGTAATTTGTTTGGTTAGGATTTTCACAGAGGATTAAAATCCAAACAAAATCCAAAAAGGTTCTTTGAGAACTTTGAATTATAGGAAGTCGACTACAGAAGCAGTCGATCTGGAGAGATTTCACAAATAGTCAATTAGGCTTGTGGACGCAGTCGACCAAAAAAGAGGCCTCATGAGGAACGGATTGGGCCCAAGAATGTTAAAAAGCCCAAAGAGTGCATAACTAGCAAAGCAAAGAGTTATAGGTGGAGAACGTGAATTCGATAGCAGGGATGGAGAACATGGGTTCATGGAGGGAAGTTACAAGAGACACATGGCTTATGAAGAAGCGAAACCCTCTGAGAAGTAGTTTTTTTGTATTATAAATAAAACACTTAGTGCATAGTGTTGGGGGTTCAAACTTTCACATTCTTACACGTTAGTCACTTAGAGTATCAAGCGAACGAAATGAGTCAAGTTAGGGCAATGTACGTTTAAATCAACCCATTTTCAACTATTTTGATGTTATGTCATCTATTTTTATAGTTTAAAACATCTTTTGTTTTATTTCACAAGTCCTACTTTATTGCTTTTAAATTCGTTTCGCCTTAGTCGAACGAACTCTTTTGAACATACTTTGTGAAAAAACTGAAGCACTGTACTGAGATTCTCTGGTCGATCTCGCTAGTAAACTTTTTGTTAAGAGACCATCGTTGTTTGCCAAAACCAGAGGTAAACAAGGGCATATACAATTTTCATAATCACAGACAGATAATTACAAATACAAATAGTCATACAACATATCTATTCGACTCTGATACTAATTGATGAAATTTTAAAAGTGTAACCAAAATCATAGATATAATAGTATGACATATCATAATACAAATAATGCAATAAACATGTATCTGTCATGGTTGAATCCATTTGGATGAGTGTAAACTGAGAATGATACTGCTCTTTTTCTGATGGAAGGGTTACGCTTGATATCTGACCTAATGAGATAATCAAAATAAATAAGCACCAAATGAGAGAAGCGACCTCTCAACATGCTATCCAAAAGAATGACCCAATCCATCACCGAGTCATTCAACAATTAAGTTTAATACGACATTCATTTTATTAATTAAATTAATAATTAATATAATGATTATATTCTATTTAATAATTAATTAAAATAAATCTATAATATATTTATCACTCAATCCTTAGAGCTAGCTCTTAAGAGTGAGATCGAAACACATTTATCGGTGCTTAAGAGGAAATGGTGAGATTAACAACCTGAACCTGGCACAACATGCTTTCACATTCAAAGAAAGTGCCACCCAAGCTCATTCACAAGGAAGGCCTAATGGAAGGGTGCATGGATCAAAGAGCTAGTTACTACTTGAGAAATCCATCAAGTTTAAGACAAAATAGAGAGTCCACTACACGATGGATAGATAAAGAAGAATATAAGTGAGGAGTCAATGACATCCTACTCAGGTATATAAGAAAGGCAGATTCTCTAAAGGCCGTGGAAAAAATTCACAACGAACTTTGTAGATCTCATAGAACTGATTTCATGATAAAGTGGTTGATTTTGAATAATGAAAATAACATAATTGTAACAACTAAGTTTATTTAAAATCTGATAATATATGCATATATATAACACTATTAGAATGCTAGATTTACATAAAACCAAAAGCTATAACTGATAATAACATATTTATACATATGTTGAGTTGGCTTTTTGCATGCTTCCAAACTCAAAAATCTGAGAATGTAACAATTTGTTGCATTTGATGAGTGAGCAACAAAATATCAATCAGGCATTAACAATGAAGAAGAAATGAAGTTGAACAATGGTCATTAACAAATTCAAACAACTAATGTTCTGGTCACTATGTTGATGAATCTGCTTAAGTAGCTGCTACAAATCCTTGATGAGAATCTCCAAACACTTGGTTCAGAATCATAGCTAATCGAATTCCACCTTGAGCGATTCTTTTCATCACAAATGGCATCCTTGAGTTGAAGTACTCTTCTGCAAAAACAACAGATGCAACAAAATCCATTAACATATAATGAATATGCTAAACTAGTGCTAACCATAGTTAAACTAACTGAACCACTTGAATCATGACTCAGAGATCTCGTCGGTTCAATCTTTTCTACCAGGTTTTCAAAACATTTCTCTAAAGAGTGGTTCTGGATTTACCTGCAAGAGTTGTTCCGGATTTAACTCCTTCATAACCCCATTTGCAAGCAATTTGTATGCTCTCTTTAGCCCAACTGCATGATTAGTCAAAAACAAATTAACAACAAAGAGCCAAATAAATTGAATGAATTCAAAACGAATGAGAAAAAGTTCTCACTTATTCACACAGAGAGATATATCATTACAATGTTCCCAAGAAGCAACATCTTCTGACCAGATTCCCTGCATACAAGAAACAATAACTTGTTGATTTTATTTGGAATCAATCAAAAAAATCCATGTTTGATTATTCTTACATTCGTATAGTTTTTCTCAATGTCTTGGAGGAGGAGTGTCACATCTTTGTCATAGTAATCTGCTAATGCAGTGAGAATAATTTCTCTGTCCCACACCTTTTAATCATAGACAGCATAAAAACAAAAAGTCACATGAAGAAATGATTATAACTAACTCAGTTTACTTCGGCTCCAAGAAACTTGAATTCGCCAAGCGAAATTTTGTAAACAAGTCTGCTAGTCACTTATTTTTTGCTTACATGATGCAGATTAGATTTGTGCCTATACCAGCGTAGATCTATCGAGTTTCCACCTTTGTCCGAGGTGAATCCAACATGCATTGGCTGATACAGAATAATAATTTAACCAAATTAATTTTATCCCGTGTGTTCACTGCTACAATAAATATGAAATGAATCAAATTAAAGATCCTTGAGAAAAACCTGATGAATATCTCCCATGAAGTGTGACAAGAACAATAATGCCTCAGTCATATTATCTACAATCTCTCAATTAATCAATATTAAGTAAAATTAGTATAAAAAATTTTGAAAGAGAAAAAAGTCATCGACACGAGACGCTTACATCGCCGATCAGATGTTCCTTCTTTGTAATGTGAAAGTTGAGAAGTGAAATTTTTGACAGCTCCAGCAACACACATATCTTCATGACAGTCCCCTATGTTTGTTAACATCAACAAATTCTCGCATTAATAACAAATATTTTCAAGAATTAAGTAGAACATGAACATGTAAATAATGCTTACTTGAATACTGGAAACCACATTTTTTATCCGGTGTGTCGATGAAATGAAGTGGACTAGTCCATTTATATTTGTACCAGTGTCTAATTTGGTCAGGCCATACACATAATGCTGATAAGTTACCATTCACAGAGGGAGGTAACAAATGATGAATTGCTTCTGATGCCTCAGGTTTTAAAAGTGCCTATAAATTCATAAAAATCGTATTTAAACATAAATTACTTTATGTTAACGTTAAACCGATTTTTAGCATGTTTGTTACCTGTGCAATTAGACATGTCATCTCATGACCCTCTTTGCTCCATCCAATGACACCAGGTAGTATTATAAAAGAACAACATAACAACAACATAAATCCAAATGGAAGAGACACTATCAAGCCTTTCAATCTAGCCATAATGTTTTAATTTGTTTTCCTTGTGAAGGGTACATTACGTTACATGTATATATATAGTTGAATTTATAGGAAAATTAGCTTTAAAGGACACGTTATGAGATGTAATTGAGTACAAGATTGAAACACCTATGTGTTTAAGTTAACTTTCAAGTTGACCTTAACTATTATTGAAATGGCATATTCTGGTATATAAGGTAGCAGAGACATTATATAACATGTAAATAATTGAGACATGTGAAATAGTGTTGTGAATTGGGTGTTGAGTAAAAGGAAACATAATTTGAGTTTTGAGAAATTGGAGTTCTTTGCTTATGGTACACTGTTACCTACCTACATGCAATTGCAAGCAAGGTGTTTGTGGTCACGACATCCATGACTCAATGATGCAATTGTAGTGGGCACAAAGACTTTGGTAGCATTAATGGATTTTTTGAAAAATTCAGGAATTCATATTCGCCAAAAAAATTCTTTTGCAATACGATAACTTACGAAATTTCTGATAAATTATAATACTTATTCGAAATTTCAAAATTTTCAATAGTATAAAATTTTATTATATTTTTTGAAAAAAAATATATAAAAAATTTATAAATGAATTACTGAAAGTTTAATATGTTACTAAATTTTTTGACAAATCTATCGGAAATTTCATTCTTCCCACCCTCAAATTTGTTCATGGATAATTTAAGAATGAAGGAAAAATTAGGGACGTCAGGTTTAATTTGGATGTAATAGGTTAAATTCTCCTAGATTAGACTTATTTTTAAATAGTTCGGACTCATGGTACGTATGTTTTGACTTTTTTCAAAAATAATTTTAATAGTGTTATATAATTTTGTGTAAAAAAATTTATAAAGAAATTTTTGATAAAAACTTCAAATAAAAATTTGATTTAAATAATTGTTCTTAAAATATTATTTTAGATATTTTATTATTGTATTAAAACTTTTTTTTATATTAAAATTTCAAAAAACTACTTAATTTTAAAGTTATTTCAAATATTTTTTCATAAAATTTATAAATAATTTTTTAAAGAAATTATGATTTTGAGTATGTTTTAATTTTCAATAATCTGTGTTTATGTGATATTAAAATTAGTTTTTTAATTTAGGAAAAATGAATATAAAAAATTTATAATATTTTAAAATTTTATTTTTGAAAAAAAAAATCTAAAAAAAACATTTCACGTATGCCATATAGAAAAGCTTTTTTAATATATTTCATTGAAATATTTAAATAAATATAAATAAATTTATTATTATATTATATATTATACTTTAAATTAAAATATAAAAATAAAATTTAATTATCTCAAAAAAGAAAATAATATGAAAAAAACAAATAATTTCATAAAAGTCATATTCCTAAGTAAATTGCATAAATGAATACAAAATAAATATTTATTTCATTATTCTTTCAATTTATTAGTCTATTTAAATATTAATTAAAGAGTTATACTAACGAGTGTTTGAGAGACAGTCATTAAGGATTCCAAATAAATAAAGTATCATACATTGAATACAAATCTATAATATAAGAACACGATATGTTCTGGAAACCATACAAATCTATAATATAAACTCATTTTTGCAACCACAAAAAAATTCACCAGATTTAAAACGACCATAGTCACAACGATCAGATTCATTATTATTTATCATTTCAGACCTCTGACCACCATTATAACCACCAGATAACCTCCTTCAAAACCATCAAACAAAACAAGAGAATGAAGTAAGACTCTGAGTGTGTGTGAGAGGGAGAGAGAGAGAGAGAGAGATTTCCCCACTACTTCCAATTAATATTTCTGAAATTTAAAAAATAATAATAATAAAATGAGAGAGAGCGAGAGAAACCAAGAGAGGTGGACCTTCGTGTGCTCACAAAGAAGGAGAGGAAAGAAACTGGACTAAGACAAGACAGATAAGAACAAAATAACCTTCCAGAAGATATCAGCAACATAGAAATAGCGTGGGTGTTCAAAAAGTGGGGAAGAGTGGTCGACATATACGTTGCAAAGAAGAGAAACAAAACGGGAAGAGTTTTCAGATTTGTCAGATACTCAGATATTATCAACGAGGCTTGGTTGTAAGAACAACTCAGACATTTGGTTTGGATCTTATAAAACTTGGGTGAACATATCTAGATTTGGAAAATCAAGGAAGAAGCCACAACAGTTGGCAAAGTATAAGGAGCTAGTCAAAACATCAAACCATAAGAGGAAGTACGACGGAGATATATGCAACACAAAAAATAGATCCAAGATTTATTCCAACTCCAAACTAGACGGTAAAAGTTATGTTGAAGCGGTCAAATTTGCAGAAATATGTCATAAAAAGTATGGATTCAAAAGGCAAATCAAAAAGCTGGAAAAGATAAAGTAGAGGTTGGATTACATTTATTAGTCAATGAGTCGGAGATGGAGTAGGCAAGACCAGGTTTCATTGGGATCGTGAAGAAAGTAGAAGAGATAAGTACTTTGGAGAATCATATAGCGAAAGAAGGCATTACATCTATTAAGTTCATTCCACTAGGGAGGAGAAAAGGTGTTTTTAAAGGTAGACGAAAATGAGGAATTTAAGAACTTATTGAAGATGCAGAAGCTTTTTTCCAAGAAGAATTCAATTCAGTTAGAGAATGGGAAACAAAGGAATCAGGGGGGGGGTTGATACACATGGGTCAAAGTTTTCGGGGTTCCAGTCCATGATGGAGAAGGAAGACATTCTCAACATTGTCTTTATCCATGGACAAGTTAATAAAATTAGATCAAGCTACAGAGGACGTGGAAATATTGGGTGTGGCGAGAATCCTCGTCAGAACATCATCGGCGGAATTTATAAACAAATTCACCAGAATTCAGATAAATAATGAGATTTTCCAAGTTCGTATAACTAAGGAGATATGTGAATGTCAAGACGTGGGGGTCGATAATGCATATGAGGAAGGATATTTAAAGGAGACCGACGAAGACTCCCTAAATTAATATGAGTGCTTCATTATGTCTGTTGTACTCCAAAATTTTCCATCCCATTTTCTTCTCAAGACTTTCTTACAAGGTTTCTCAAATACCCAAGACACTCAAGGATTGACTAGTCAAGATGCACCTCCTAAGCCAAAAGCCCACAACTAGGGTTTGGAGTTTCTCAAGGAAATTTGGATTGAAAATGTCTCAAGTGGATTCCATGGTTCTTCATAGGTTCTTAACAAGGTCCATGTCAAGTTTGAAGCCATACATCACAAGTTTCCTCAGTCAATAGCTTAAATGATTGAAAGTTAATTGTATTGATCAAAAGTAAAATATGGTCAACATACAGTCAAACTTCAAGATTCTTGGTCAACATCAATATTTTGAAGTGATATTCATCATTTGATCAAGGGTTGATCATGATTCCCCAAGGAAATCTCTCAAATCGTCAAAAGTCAAGATTTGTTAAATTAGGGTTTCCTTAGAAGAAGTCAATTGAACTTTGACCAGACATAACTTTCACATGCTTCATCAACTTTTCCCCAACCAAAGCCTATTTTTGAAGAAAATTCAATTCTCTACAACTTTGGTTATATTCTCAAATCCAAAAAAATGCTTCATTTGGAAGATATGAACTCATACATTATAGGTCATTTTCAAAAGTCAACAAAAATACACTTTTTGTCAAGGAAACTTATATCAAGATAATATCTTCAAAAGCAAAAATGATCAAAATAGAGATTGTAGAGGACATCTTAAGATTTATAAAAAGTCCAATATCATCTTCAAAAGATACAAATTGAGCAATTATGGGTTGTACAAGTTGGGAAATTTTGAAGAAATTCATGAAGTACAAATTGAGCAAAATTGCAATTTTGAACCAATGAGCTTGGTTTTTAACATTCAAACATGATTATAAGATGTGGTATGACCTCTAAAAAACATTCACACTTGCTCATAATTTTTATTGTTTTTATTTGAATTTTTTATTCATTTAAAAATGAATAAAATTGGATAAAATTGAAAATAGAGTATAGAGACTTGGGCCTTTGGGTTTTTTCTCCTCAAACCCGTCACAAATTTGTGCTAGCCCACTAGCTAGATTTCCAGGTTCATGCAAATGGAAAATGGCAAGAAATATTGCAAGTTTGACGAGAATTAAAGTTGTTTTATCCTTGTTTAAACTATGTCATCATGGATTGATTCCATTCCTTATTTGTCAGCTCATTTACTCATCTATATAATGCAAGCAAGAGAAAACCAAGAGGACCACGAAATATTTGCACAAAAATCTCTCCAAAAGCTCTCCAAAAAGCTCTCCAAAAGCTCCAAAAAATTCTCAAAAATTCTCAAAGTTGCAAAAATTTGTAACTACATTTCCATGTGCTATCAATCCAAACAAACAGCCAAATTACATTTCTGAGGCTTCCAGGAATTGAACCACACTCATAACCAAGCCCTTTCAAGTCCAAAACGCCTCCTCCCATTCACGCAGGTTGGTAAGTGTGATGAAGATTCGAAACTTTGATCTCAGGCATTATTAATCGTTGCTGACATAATTAATTTATTCATATGCATCATTGAAATGTATTTGATGTTTTATATGTGAGTCTTTATGCGGAAATAAGATTGTGCCATTGTTAGGGCACGAAGCTTTTAAAGATTCAGATCTCACGTTCCAGGTGTCTTTAGGCCAAACTAATGACACCACTGAGATCGCAGGGTCCAATATAATGGATCTAGAGTTTTGCTTTTTTTGTTTGATTAATTTTGCAGGTTTTGAAGAAAAAACCCCATCAGAGATGATGGTGTTTTCCACCAAAGTGGTTTGAAAAACACAGAGGAGGTCAACGCAGGCGTGGCATAATAAAATTGTCATGATTGGTCCATTCCTCTTTCTTTTTTTTAAATTTATTTATTTAACTTTCTTTAATATTTTCTTTTATAATCATAAAAATAAAATAAAAATCAGAAAATCAGAAAACCACAAAAATATTAGATTTAAGTTTTTTTAATTAAATTATTTTTTATTAAT